AATGATGATGACTCCCAAACTATAGATCGCAGCGGTTTAATGATGATGACTCCCAGACTATAGATCACAGCTGTTTAATGATAATGACTCCCAAACTATAGATCACAGCTGTTTACTGATAATGACTCCCAGACTACAGATCACAGCTGTTTAATGATGATGACTCCCAGACTACAGATTACAGCTGTATTTATAATGACTCCCAGACTACAGATCACAGCTGTCTATTGATGATGACTCCCAGACTACAGATCACAGCTGTCTATTGATGATGACTCCCAGACTATAGTTCACAGTTGTCTACTTATAATGACTCCCAGACTACAGATCACAGCTGTCCATTTATAATGACTCCCAGACTATAGATCACAGCTGTCTAATGATAAGAATCCCAGACTATAGATCACAGCTGTTTAATGATAATGTATCCCAGACTATGGATCACAGCTGTCTAATGATAATGACTCCCAGATTATAGATCACAGCTGTCTAATGATAATGACTCCAATACTATATATAGATCACAGATCGTTAAACAACTCGATCTTCAGAATAGTCCATTCTGCGGCTTATAAAACAATTTTGTAATAATAAAACCAACATAATTACTTACTCACTTCTGTATTTAAATTTGTTGTTAACATGTCACCATCTTGAATGTATAAATTCGTTTAAGTTAGTGTTTTTCATTAATTATCTTGTGGTTCACCACACAGTTTTCTCCGGAAAGTGAAGGCGCTGTTTCAACCTGGGCAGTGACGTCGGTAGAACTTCTGTTTAATACGTCAGGTTCACCGTTCGAAGAAGCAACAAATGGTTAAGTGTACAAAATTATTGTGTAGTTTCTGATTGATTAGATAACGTAGAGAGTTAGGCAGCCAAACATGTGAAGTTTAATTAAGTTTAGTTTTTTTTCGGGGGTGGGGGGTTTGGTACATATTTGAAGCCAATTATTTTTTTTTCCGATTTTCCGTTGCCTAAGGTAACACGAGTGATGGAATTCTCAGAAACACCGTTATAACTCAGTGACAAGTGGTGATAGATTGGACTTCATATTTATTTATAGCCTCGTAAACAGGTTGTCTACTGAATAATGAATGAATAAGATATTCTTCAAATTTCGGTTTACTGTGGTGAGTGAAAGACAACTCAAAACTCTATACATGTTGTATACAGTTCATCAATACAAGAAGCCCGTTTTTTTTTTGTTAGACTTGCTATTGCCGAGTGCTACTGGTAAGGGGAGGAAGGATTCCTTTCCGGTATAATTTAGTGATAAGTGGTAATTCGAAGGGGCTTCATATTTATTTTTGATATTTTAATTCAGTGTATAAATGTAGAAGCATAATGAAGATATGCTCAGTTTACTAAATCTAAAGACCTGGCATTTTGCTTTGAAGCAACTGAATATATTTTTGTAACTTCTGAAAACTGAGATGAAAATTCTTTATGAAGGAGTTTATTACACCCGTGGCATGTCTTTCCCTTTTCTTTTTGCAGGAGGAAAGAAAACAGTGCGAAACGCAGAGAACATTAAATTATTCGAAACTCCGATTGGAAATTCATATTCTTGTTCCTCTCCAGAACTAATCCCTCTCTTTGATTCCAAGAAAGACAAAGTGGTCAGTGTAAGACTGCGTAATGTAAAGTTGCAGCCGTTCCAAGTTGATAACGAAAGATTTTCAGCAGGTAAACCTAAACCGACTTTAAGAATGATGAATTGTATTCTTGTAGTTTCGCGATCTCATTTTTTGTGTGTGCAAAAAAAGCATGATATACCATTCATGATAATTCTTTTACGATCTCACAAAATTCAATGAAAAATTATTACGTACTCGATACCAAGGTTTTTCCAAAGAATGTAACC